AAATAATAAATAAATAATACAGAACAGATTGGAAAGAGCTGAGAAAGAGAAGAAAAGGGCTCAGACCTAGAAAAAAAGGTTAGCACACAGATGTAACTGAAATACTTAAATCTACATGCTAAAAATCTAATGTATGTGCATATGCCTATATAGATACTGGGGTCATGCCTCACGTTTAGCCTTGCCTTGCTTAAACCAAGGATGATTGAATAAACCACTGTTTGTCAAATAAACCACAATAGGTTGGGTTCATGCTACACACAGTCACATTGCCAAAGCCGAACAAACCACACCAAGATGATGGGGCCAGCCAGACTGCCATTCCAGTCCAGCCAGGAAACATCTGAAGATGGCAGTAACTGTACAGTATGGGTTTGGTCTAATCTAGCTGCCAGGGCTGAACACGAAGGAGTCTTCACTTGGTCAGAGGGGTAGCAGGCTTGGAGTTAGTCCCCCTGTCCACTTCCTCCATCTAGTTACATCAGTGTTTTTCAAGCTTGGCGACTTGAAGACCTGTGGACTTCAACTCCCAGAATTCCCCAGCCAGCCATGCTGGCTGGGGAATTCTAGGAGTTGAAGTCCACTTCCCCAGCCAGCATGGCTGGCTGGGGAATTCTAGGAGTTGAAGTCCACTTCCCCAGCCAGCATGGCTGGCTGGGGAATTCTAGGAGTTGAAGTCCACAGGTCTTCAAGTTGCCAAGCTTGAAAAACACTGAGTTACATGAATCAAACGATCCTCATTAGTGTCAGCCTTGAAGCTGGCTGGGGGTCAATCTCCCCAACTTTCTCTCCCACCCAAGCTTTTTTCTTTTTTTTTAAGGAAACCAATCTGCTCCCCTCCCAAATCTGAGGACCCTTTCAGGTGGATTGCAGACCTTAGCTATTACTGGGCAAGGCATAAAAATGCCTCTGAGCACACTGAGGATCTACAGCCACCTTTGGAGGCACGCCAGAGAAGCTGGAGCTGAGGCTTGCCAGGCTCTATCCAGCCTGATTGCCCGGCCTTTCCAAGGAAAAGCCCTTTCTTCACCAGTCCCCCGACCCTCCACCCCAAAGGAATCCATTTCTCCACCTAGGAGAAAAATCTCTGTCTTTCCAAACAGAGAGAAAAGTTCTATCCACCCTGTTTGGTGTGAGCTGGTAAAGGAGGACAAGGCTAGGGGGTTCAATGCACAACTCTCCCCCACTTCACGGGGCACCCCAGGCTCTGCCTTGCAGGTGGGGGCCACTCCACATTGGAGGGAGGGGCCAAGGGCTGAAACAGGCGCCTTCAGCACCACCCCGTTGCAGCCCGGCGTTTTTCCCCCTCCTACTCTGCGGAGCTCCACCAGCAACGCTAAACAACGGAACTGGCCGTTTGGGGCCCCACCCTCCCTGCAGGGGGCCGGGCAAAGCGACCCCGACCGCCCCA